CACAAAGCATGCAAAGAAAGCTAGTGAACCATGAGTTGTTCTACAACTATATGAAGCATATGAAAGCTCATTAAACAAGCTAAAAATAGATGTATTCCATGCCAAAATATGCCCAAATAACCACTGAAACTCAGTCAATGCATGCAAAAATGATGAGCCCCTTTGGAAGGCCATGCAAGGGGTTACTCTACACCTATATGATGGACACACAAAAGGGCAAAACCACCTATGAAATGAGTTATGAAAGCCCTAAAACCCACCAAAAAGAGCCTGAAATTGGTCTAGGAAGCATGCAATGAAAGGTCCCTTTGAAAGGCCTTGAATGGGATTGTTCTACACATGCATCATAGACATAAAATATGGCAAAATGGGATCTGGACAGAGCTAATTCAGACCATAAAACTCACAAAATAAGTCCTGGAATGTGCCTTCACAACATGCAAAATGGAGCTCATTTGGAAGGCCAACAAAGCTAGTAAAGAGAATGAGGGGTGAGAGGGTCACCCCTCTATGATTTTGGAGCTCAAAGACACATTAAAGCCACTGAAAATCCACTAGATTTCAGTTGCTAAGAGGCCAAAACAAGGCCAATGCAAATGCTCAAATGCATGGCTCAAAGCATGAGGAAATGAAGCACGCAAGGAAGGAGATGACTCCAAACAGAAAAGTGACCTCAATCAAACTTAAAGAGGAGGTCAAAACAAGATTTTCTTCAGTTTAGGTCAAAGTCCAAAAATGCTCGCAAATAAGGCTAAGATTTGAAGCAAAATAAGCCTTAAAAGAGAGATGGAGCAAACAAGGAGGTAGATGGCCTCAAACGGAAAAGTGTCCTTAAAAAAAGTTCAAGAGGGGCTCAAAATAAGACGTTTTTTAGTTCATGCCAAAGCGCGAAAATGCTTGCAAATGGAGCTAAAGTATAGAGCAAAATAGTGCAAAAAAAGGGTAAATGAAGACTTACCCTTGTAGCACAGCAATGCAGCAACTTCTAGACCAAGAAAGTGAGCTCTCAACCTCTGAAAATGACCTCCAAGGTGCTGGAATGGATGGTGGAGGTGGTAGGCTATGAGGTGTAGTGTAAAACGGCCAAGAATATTAGGGTTTGGAGGCTTGAAGCATAGAGATAGAGGGAGTTGTATGTATGCTCCAACCAAGACTTTCTAACCCTTGCAAAGGAAGACAAGCCTCTCCTTTATAGAGGAGAGGCTCTAAAGCTTCTCTTGGAAGCTTCAAATATCCTCCATACACGTGTATGGAGGATGGTCCAAATGCCTCCCAGCTGGCACAGACGCATTCAGAGAGAACAAAAGGCAAAAAGCAGGCCGACCAGTTCAAGTGGCCGGCCGGCCACTCCCCCTGGTCAACCGACTAGGGGTCAAAAGGTTCAAGGAGAAATGCTGGCCGACCACCCCAGAAAGGTGGCCTCCCAGATGAGTGCAACACAGTTGTATGGTGGAAAACCAGAAAAAGTGACCCAAGAAAGAGAAAAATCAACTTTTCAGCAAGGTTCAAAAGGGTCAAGAAGAATTACTGGTCGGCCTACCCATATTGGTGGCCTCCCAGATGAGCACAGCACAATGGTGGTATGAAAAGCTAGAAATTGTGGCTCAAAAGTGAGAAAAACCAGCTTTCTGTCAGAAAAATCGGCTTTAGGAGAAAGAAAAAGAGAAAACTAGTTTCCAAGGGAAAAAGGTGGCCTCCCACCATACTACCACCTCCCTAGCAATGAAAATAGGATCCCTGCCAAAAATGAACCCTAACCGATGCAAAACGAGGGTTCGGGGGCCAAAACGCGCGGTCCGGGGCCCCGAAAACAAGCTATTAAGCACCGGAGGTGGCGTACGACCACGAAGGTGGTCTCTCGAGCCACAGTGTCCCTCCAAAGAGAGGAAACAAGGTGTGTGCCAAAAACTGGAGCAAACGGAGGTAGTCAAGCGGTCCCGAACCGAGGCGCACGGCCGACGGCTCCGAAAACCAGAAACTGGTCTCCAAATGGAAAAAATGGCCTACAACCACGAAACGTAGCCTACAGCCACTGAGAGATGGTCTGCAAGACCTCTCTCTCCCTTCGGGAAAAGAACAGAGAAAATAGGACCTGGTTCGCAAACCGAGACAAAGCACAAAAAAGCCCCAAAGTTCGGAGGCAAGGCTTGCACCCGAGACTCCGCAACCTCAGAACGAGCGCAATATGCAACATCACTGAACGCTCAGTTGCTGATGTCTGAGTCTTAAGGTCGGTCAAAAATGGGGTGTCTACAGACGTGCATTTGGCGTGCCGTTAATACATCAATTATACACCACACATACGCCAGCCGTGAAAAGTATTGCACTTTTCACAGCACACAAAACGCCCGCCGTTAAAAGTTTTACACTTTTTACGACTCACATAACGTCTGCCGTTAAAAGTATTACCTTTTTACGACGCACCATGCATGTCGTGTATTGTATGTTAAAAAAAATAGGCGCCAAGGTGAAATTTTATTCAGCCAAATTCAACCAAAAAAAAGAAAAGAAAAAAAAAGAGGAATTATACATCAACTGTTTGGCTTCTGACCCATACGGCGATGCCCTGTTTCAACCACAACAATGGCGTCTCTCACCCCTGGCATCCTCTCCAAACTTCTTCAAAATCTCAACAACACTGTCGCCGGAGGGTATTGAGAAGAAAGTGGGTGTAAAAGAAAAGATTGAGGGTTCAAACAGTCTTTAATCTTCGAAGCCATTGATTAGCCCCCAATCACATTGTGGATAGAATACAAAACCTGATTTGGGGGTTTTTAAGAAGGTCTCTGTAAAAAAAAGAAGATTTTATGAATGGGTTTGATGAGTTTAAGATCACAAAGAGATAGGTTACAATATGTTAAAGAGAAAATGTCCTCCGTCATTGCAGAAGTAGCAATCTTCGAGAGTCACAGCAACAATGGCCGCAATGGTTGCTTTTCAGAGCTCTTTCATTTCTTTTTCTCTCTCCTCAAATTCCTTCTTGGGCCAATGCATCTACGATTCAATGTCTTCTCTCATTGTCTCTGTTTTGTTTCGCGTTTTTTGATTTTGGGGCGAAACATCTCGAAATCGCCATATACATTTCAAATTTAAGGTATGCTCTGTATTTTGTTTCTAATTTTTTTTCCAATTAATGCCTAGTTTTGATGTGTGAGGTGTTTTTTGATGCTCTACTTTATGCTTTTCTGATCTTTCTCCTAATGGTTGTTTAGAGAGAGAATGTGTGCCTGTGGCCTGTAAGAAAGTAGGCAACTGCTTTTTGTTATGTCTGAGAGAGTATGGCCACAAGAGAACAATCCACTTATTATGTCTTGCATTAGCATTGCAAACCGAGTGTTTGACGGTATGTCTGTGAGAGAAAAATCATAACGATCGTTTGTTAACATATAAAAATACAATTTCTACTACTATGATTTTGAAAAAAAGAGAGGGTGAAATCATAGTTTATAAATTAAAATTTATTAAAGTAATTAATTCAAAATGAAATTATTTCTTTTTTGCAACCAAACAAGCATGCATGTAAAGCTCAAACATTGTCATACATAAGTTGGGACTAAGTGGTGGTTTAGTTCAAGTTTTATTGTTGTAGTCAATATTTTGCAGTTTTGAATCCTACTAATAATACAACAACATAGTTCATCATTTTTTGCAATTACCAATTATTGTGCAAAACCAGACACTAAACGGTCGAGTTCGGGGATCCTGAGGCAAGGCGCGTGAGCCGAGACCTCCGGGAACTCCAAACGAACACAAACATGGAAGATCACCGTGTGTTCAAACAGTGACGTCCAAGTCTTGAGGACTGTCAAAAATGGGGTGTCTACACCGGCCGGCCACTCCCCCTGGTCAACCGACCAGGGGTCAAAAGGTTCAAGGAGAAATGCTGGTCGGCCACCCCAGAAAGGTGGCCTCCCAAATGAGTGCAACACAGCTGTATGGTGGAAAACCAGAAAAAGTGACCCAAGAGAGAGAAAAATCAACTTTTTAGCAAGGTTCAAAAGGGTCAAGAAGAATTACTGGTCGGCCTACCCATATTGGTGGCCTCCCAGATGAGCACAACACAATGGTGGTATGAAAAGCTAGAAATTGTGGCTCAAAAGTGAGAAAAACCGGCTTTCTGTCAGAAAAATCGGCTTTAGGAGAAAGAAAAAGAGAAAACTGGTTTCCAAGGGAAAAAGGTGGCCTCCCACCATACTACCACCTCCCTAGCAATGAAAATAGGATCCCTGCCATAAATGAACCCTAACCGATGCAAAACGAGGGTTCGGGGGCCAAAACGCGGGGTCCGGGGCCCCGAAAACAAGTTATTAAGCACCGGAGGTGGCGTACGACCACGAAGGTGGTCTCCCGAGCCACAGTGTCCCTCCAAAGAGAGGAAACAATGTGTGTGCCAAAAACTGGAGCAAACGGAGGTAGTCAAGCGGTCCCGAACCGAGGCGCACGGCCGACGGCTCCGAAAACCAGAAACTGGTCTCCAAACGGAAAAAATGGCCTACGACCACGAAACGTAGCCTACAGCCACTGAGAGATGGTCTGCGAGACCTCTCTCTCCCTTCGGGAAAAGAACAGAGAAAATAGGACCTAGTTCTCAAACCGAGACAAAGCACAAAAAAGCCCCAAAGTTCGGAGGCAAGGCTTGCACCCGAAACTCCGCAACCTTAGAACGAGCGCAATATGCAACATCACCGAGCGCTCAGTTGGTGACGTCTGAGTCTTAAGGTCGGTCAAAAATGGGGTGTCTACAGACGTGCATTTGGCGTGCCGTTAATACATCAATTATACACCACACATACGCCAGCCGTGAAAAGTATTGCACTTTTCACAGCACACAAAACGCCCGCCGTTAAAAGTTTTACACTTTTTACGACTCACATAACGTCTGCCGTTAAAAGTATTACCTTTTTACGACGCACCATGCATGTCATGTATTGTATGTTAAAAAAAATAGGCGCCAAGGTGAAATTTTATTCCGCCAAATTCAACCAAAAAAAAGAAGAAAAAAAAAGAGGAATTATACATCAACTGTTTGGCTTCTGACCCATACGGCGACGCCCTGTTTCAACCACAACAATGGCGTCTCTCACCCCTGGCATCCTCTCCAAACTTCTTCAAAATCTCAACAACACTGTCGCCGGAGGGTATTGAGAAGAAAGTGGGTGTAAAAGAAAAGATTGAGGGTTCAAAGAGTCTTTAATCTTCGGAGCCATTGATTAGCCCCCAATCACATTGTGGATAGAATACAAAACCTGATTTGGGGGTTTTTGAGAAGGTCTCTATAAAAAAAAAGAAGATTTTATGGATGGGTTTATTGAGTTTAATATCGTGAAGAGATAGGTTACGATAGGTTAGAGAGAGAACGTCCTCCTTCGTTGCAGAAGTAGCAATCTTCGAGAGTCACAGCAACAATGGCCGCAATGGTTGCTTTTCGGAGCTCCTTCACTTCTTTTTCTCTCCTCAAATTCCTTCTTGGGCCAATGCATCTATAGTTCAATGTCTTCTCTCATTGTCTCTGTTTTGTTTCGCGTTTTTTGATTTTGGGGCGAAACATCTCGAAATCGCCATATACATTTCAAATTTAAGGTATGCTCTGTATTTTGTTTCTAATTTTTTTTCCAATTAATGCCTAGTTTTGATGTGTGAGGTGTTTTTTGATGCTCTACTTTATGCTTTTCTGATCTTTCTCCTAATGGTTGTTTAGAGAGAGAATGTGTGCCTGTGGCCTGTAAGAAAGTAGGCAACTGCTTTTTGTTATGTCTGAGAGAGTATGGCCACAAGAGAACAATCCACTTATTATGTCTTGCATTAGCATTGCAAACCGAGTGTTTGACGGTATGTCTGTGAGAGAAAAATCATAACGATCGTTTGTTAACATATAAAAATACAATTTCTACTACTATGATTTTGAAAAAAAGAGAGGGTGAAATCATAGTTTATAAATTAAAATTTATTAAAGTAATTAATTCAAAATGAAATTATTTCTTTTTTGCAACCAAATAAGCATGTGAAGCTCAAACACTGTCATACATAAGTTGGGACTAAGCGGTGGTTTAGCTCAAGTTTTATTGTTGTAATCAATATTTTGAAGTTTTGAATCTTACTAATAATACAGCAACATAGTTCATCATTTTTTGCAATTACCAATTATTGAGAGGCAATGACCAAAGTCAAAAAAAGCTAACTAAAGATGTTGTGTTATAAGATAATTAAGGGAGGAAAAATTTATATATGGTATAGTATAGATAACTACAATTTCTTTTTTCTTTTTACTAAATGGTAAAATCGTGTCTTTAAAATTAAATTTACGCTCTGTTTGTTTTGGACGAAAATATTTTTTTTGGAAAACGTTTTTTGTATTTTCTTGTGTTTTGGACTTATTGGTGTTTAGTTCAATTTTTTATTGTTGTAATCAATTTTAAATTTCTGAAGCTCCTGCAAAAGATTTAGTTTCTTTTTGTTTGAGTCACATACACAATCTAAACTTATGTTTTGAACATTGATAATTAGGTGTTCAATTTGTGGGTTTAATAATAAGATTATGCTGCTTGTAGGGTTAGTTAATAGATGCAATTTGTGATCCTTCAAATGTCTTCTGGAAGTTTGAAGGCTTATGACTTCCAAATTTTGTGACCTCATTCAAGGGTAGAAATTATAATCAACCAAAACCAAGCTTGAAGTAGTATAAACTATTATCATTAATGAATTAGTTTTTCCTGTTTTTGTTATTGATGTCTATGAATAGTATTGATGAATTATTCAATGAAATTAGTCATGGATGAACTGTAAATGGTACACTTTGAACTCCATGATTCAAATGGCTATTATATCATATTGTCCATATTCCTTTTTCATGTTTGATTGCCTAACATGCTGAAAAAGAAAGACAAGGTGCTTAGGTAAAATGGTACACAAACATAACGGTGTCTCAAGAGTATTTTTTGAAACTATGAGCCTAAGTAATGGGTATTTTGTTTGAAAATGAAAGAACAATTTGGCAACCAAATCATTTTGTATAAAAGTATAGATTTCACTGTATTCCTTTTCATAGTGAATACAACCAAGCAATGATTTGGGCCATCAATAAAATTGACCCACGACACTATTTGTCAAAAAAAGCTAACTACATCTTCTTCACTTTTATTTGATTAGTAAAAGGGGAAAGTCTATAGTCAGAGAGAGATGTATAATGATATTGGGGGTTCAACTCTTCCAAGTTATTAATATAATAACTAATTACTGACTTTCTTCGATCAAAAAAAGAAAAAAAAAATTAGTGTCAAGTGATCTCATTAATATTTAGTAGATCGTAGCATAAACTTTCTCAACACCCAATGCCCCTGCATCTTGAGCTGCTACGTCAAATTTAAGCTAAATTGGACACTGTTTTTTGAACCTCTAAATACTAACATTTTTCATCATGTAATACTACTTTTTTGCCCATAATTTTAATTTTTTAGAATAGAAATTAGCCCCATTTCGGGGATCCTTATCAAAGGCAATGAAGTAAAATGAATCAACAACTTGATTTTTCACTCTGTACAAAATCAAGCAAACACTGCTATATACTCCATAAGTTTTCTTTTATTACTTGCTTTATATTTTAAACTTCTTGTAGTGATTTTTTGAGGCACAGTTTTCTTTTAGTGCCCAATTTCAAGTCAACAGTGTAGCTTTTGGGTTATTAGTTAAAAGCATAAAATTTCCAAAGGTCCAACAAAATGTAAAAACTTTTAGTTGTCATGACACCCAAACACTAGTCCATGTGAAGTGGATGGAAATGGTACATTTTTAAAGAATTCTGTTTAATCGAGGCTTACTTATCTTCAACTGAATTCCGATTATCTTCTCATGCTCCTTAATATGTGCAGCTGTTTCATTTCATTATCTCATCTTTGAAGTCTGGAAGATCTTCATATCTGATGGATGTTATTGTGGGTCTACTTTATCCTGTAATTTCTTTGCAGGTATGTGCAGTATAACTTTTATTGCTTAAGGTTCCTAATTGTTCCAGAAATTCACCAGTACATCTCATTTTTATTTTATTTTTTTGAAACTATCAAACCAGCTTTCTTCTATGAACTTTCAATCTATTCTCATTTTATTTTATTTTTTTGTGAAAAGGTTAATTCATAATCCTGCTTGTAGCATAAATGAACTTTCAATTGGGCTCATGTTGTGAATGGTTTTCACCCTATTGCAGGTACATGATCTCCTCAAATATAGGTGAGGTTGCCTCAATATTTTTAATAGCGGCATTAGAGGTCCCCAGAAGGCCTAATCCCTGTCCAACCCTTGTGGGTCAACCTTGTCACAAATGGACCTCCTGCGACAACCCTTGGATTCAATCCACCAAATAAGGACATCATGAAGAAACCCCCTCGTCGAAGTGATGACCTGCTCATCAATCCTTGGACTTTATTCTACTATCTGGTAAAAAGTTTGGAAAAGAGGTAACTTCATTAGAGGTATGAAAAAAAAGATTTTGCTTTATGTGGATTTTATTTGCATATACGTTGAAACTGTTGAGATCTTGAATTTTTGCTAATATTTCATTATGACATTGCTTTTATGGGGCCATTGAATTATCTTATTAATTTTGAAAATGTTTTGTTGATGTTTTAAAATTTCTTGATCATTTCTTAATACCTCAAGAAATATTTTTGTCCCCGAGTCGTTGGTTTTTGTACTTATGTGAAGTTTCATTTGTCATACAGACAAGAAATGCAACAAGGTTAGTTGCTCCAACTATTGCTGCGGGTTTAGGTGCCTTAACACATACATTGGGCACCCTCGTCCTTGTGATAGCAGAAAGTGGATTTGCTACAGCGACAACTGCAACTGCAACTGCTACTGCTATAAGAACTATTGTTGGTAGTTTTAGATAATCTATTAGTAATTGTCAATATGTTTAGAAAGTTAGATATGCATAGTTTTGGATGGTTTATACTTCTTGTACAATTTAGAACTTAAAGATATAGTTTTCGAATATTTGGAATGTATAAACAATTGTTGACTGCTTATAATTTATGGATATAGTTTCTTTTTGATGTTTCAAATAATATTTTGGTAGTTAATTGATGTTTTGTAATGCTTATTTGTAATATTTGTTAGATTGTACAAAATTGGTCAAATAGAACTTGATGAATTTTTTTAAAAAAAAATGCATATTCTACGGCAAGCATAATTAGTCGTTGTATTACATATTTTACGGCGCACAATCAGCGTCATTATTTGTCTCACCAATTAACGGCGTGCAAAAGTAGTCGTAAAAAAAGTAACAACGACACACAAAATCTGCTGTTAAATAATTTTTAACGGCGTACTGTAGCATGTCGTAGAAAAAGTAACAACGACGCACAAAATTTGTCGTTAAATAGTTTTTAACGGCGTATGAAGCATGTCGTCAAAAGTGAATGACTTTCCATGACTGGTCATAATATGACATGCGCCTGCACGTCATAGAAGGATTTTTACGACGTGCATTGCGCGCCATAAAAGCCTTTTTTTGTTGTAGTGACAAATAATTATCCTTGTAGGCTTGACTCGACTATGTGGTTGGGTGTTTAAATTGCTTGTGTGTTATGTGATTATATGCTAGGCAAGTTATGTAATTTGGTATGTGTAGAGTAAGTGCTTCGGGAAAGGCTAGAGTTTAATTCACCAAACTTGATGTTGTTATTGATAGGATGTCAGGGCAAGCTAGTAGAGGTCATGTGGGGACTAGGAGTGCCGGTAGGGGCACAACAATTCCAGTAGTTCCTGCACTTGCAGCACCGGCGAGGAGATTACATGAGAGATAATCAGAGCTATAAGGGAGGCTTTAGCTCGCAATGAAGGAGTCAAGTCTCGTGCCCTCAAGACCACTAAAAAGTTCTTTCTCTTTAAACCATCAGAGTTCGCAGGAGGGCCAGAACCGTTAGAGGCAGAAAACTGGTTAGAGCAAGTCATTAAGACTCTTGATATACTTAAAGTCACAGATGAGGAGTTGAGAGTGGCATTAGTGAGTTTTCTACTGAAGGGAGACGCTGGGTATTAGCGGAAGCCCTACCATAGGCACCACCTGTGCTGCATTCACTGAGACCTTTTAGGCCAAACACTTTCCTTCTTCCGCTTAGGAAAGATTGAGGAAACAATTTGTGGAGTTGTGCCAAAGTACTATTCCTTTGGCACAATTTAAGGCAAGGTTCACCAGTTTGTCTAGATTTGCTCCAAAGTTGGTAGCAACTGAGGAGTGTCGTTGTATGGAGTTCGTAGAGAGGTTATGCGATAATATTCAATGGAAGGTTGTTAGGTGCATGCATAGGAATTATCACACACTAGTGGAAGAAGTGGCTCACGTGGAAGCCACCAACCTTGAGATTGGCCCAGATAGAGGGCAAAAGGGCATATTGGCAAGTTCTTTGGTTTGAGAGCACACTAGACCTAGTAGGAAACAAAGAAGAGCAGAATCTCAATCATAGGTTTAGTCTCAGCCTCAATCCAGTCTAATCAAACTCAAGTTTCCTCGAGTCAGTCACAGAGTAGAGGACCACCCTTTTGCTCCAAATGTAGGCAATTGGGCCATGTTAGGCGCCATTTCCCTTCGCATGGGCTGGGTCTGTCTTAATAGTCCAGGCAAAGACCATAGTGATGTTATGTAAGGATGGAGTTTTTATGCCTTAGTACTGTGATGTAACTTCTCTTTTATGGACGGCCTTGTGCCTACAGATGTTGTGTACGTATATATGTGTTCGTGTGTGTGTGTGTGTGTTTGTGTGACCCAATAGTATGGGTATGTAGTGTATGTAATTAATTTTTGGAAGTTGCCAATGTTAGAAGGTGTGAAAATTTGTAATCTTAACCTTGTTGTGTAACAGTTATCATTTTCCTAAATGAAGCATGTATTGGCTTATGAGCCTTAATTTGAATTAGAATGCTTGTTGAGAAGCAAAAGTTGTATGTTGATGAGATCAGTCTTGGAATGTGGCAAGGATGGAATTGTGTAATTCTTAAGGGGCATAGTTAGGACGATATGGAACCTTAGGATGGTATAAGGTTGGATTGAGTTACTTAGTAGGTTATGAAATTATTGGGAAGGGATGTGGGATTTGTGTCTCTTACAATGATAGTGATGTTTGTGTAGTGGTTGTTGAGAGTTGGTAATTATGCGTTGATGTAAAGGGGTTGCGGTATTTAGGTATTGAATGGCATGGTTAAGACTTGCATAGGGTTGATGAACATTAAGAGAACTTGGTGGTTAAACACTAGAAATGTTTCTCGAGAGGAAGTATGGGTAGTGTTCTTGAGTAACGGGTGTAGCATGGGTAGTTGTCACAACCCAAACCCGCCCCTATAGGTTTAGTGTCATAACCGACCAGTAATCCTAAGATTACCTATGGCCTCTGAAACAGAATCACAAAATAAGGGGCTAGCAGAAGCAATACATAAATAATAAGAGTCTAATGAGCTGTGTAGACTTAAATGAAACAGAATATTTAAAACTTTATATATAACCATAATCAAAAATCATTCTCACATTATACCCACATACTTAACTATAGCATCATAAGTACAGTCAATGAAACAAATCAAGTCTTATATACAGAGACAACTAGAGCTTATAACATGCGACTCTTTAGGAACCTCCACGTGAGGCACAAAGGTTGGCTTGACAAAACGGAAGTCAGACAGAAGCCCTTAGGCCTGGTCCTGCACATGCTTACCTACATATACATATATACAAACAGTGAGCTAAAGCCCAGTGACTAACAATAACGTAAGGAGGTTAGTGAACGAATTCTGAACATGTCATATCCATAAAATAGATCATAACATAATCAATTCTCATATCTGAACATAACAATGGTACATCCAATAGAACATATCACATCGTCATCCGACTAGAGCAATCAGTTCTAGATACCGATTAAACATATCACCACTTTGACAAGTGGCTAATGAGATCTCGTAATCACATATATGTCATGGACCCTCATTAACATGCCATCCCCCATGACTTAAGACTATCTATGGATGCCATAATAGATTTCAAACATAGGACATTCATTCACGTAAACAAGGTCATATTTCATAAATTATAGTTCATCGTATAACATTTCAAACATAAATCATATAAACATATCTTTACAATAATGTTACTCACAATGGACTTCCGGAAACGGTCAATCAATTTTCGAACGTGGACCTACAACACAAAAGTACATAGCACAAAACATATCTTATCATTACACATTCATATAGCCATTACGGCTTATCTTTCTTTACATTGGTTTCTAATTCAGTCCATTTCTCATAACTTATACAGGTGAATCGCATTCTCGGATTTCAAATTTGTCTCATATTTTCTAATTCAATTACTGATGTCATTTCTTAGCTTATTACTCTTTAATGACTCATAATTCATGCCTAAATATGCTCAGAAAATGATGGGAACAAAAATATGAACACCGAATGTCTTTCAAAAATATGCTAAATTTGGCATGGCTGCTTGAGCGCACCTTTGGTCGCTCGAGCGGACTGCTCTACTTGCACAAGTATTGGATAGTCTCATTCTACGCTCGAGCCACAACTCCTACGCTCAAGCGATCCCACAATACGCAAAAAGGTTAGCTCGAGCCACCAAGTGGTCGCTCGAGCGATCTACAAGAGATTGCAAAAGTACTGGATGCTCGAAATGTTCGCTCGAGAGACAAATCCTTCACTCAAGCAACATGCAAAATTCTGAATTTTCAAAATAGAGTTTTAAGCTTCCAAATGCAAATTCAAAGGCAAAACTCATGCATGGCTTGTCTTTAAAGCTTGAAAACTTATCCATAAATATGAATACATGATCCTTGACAAACCCTTTGCTCAAAACTCATGAATTTAATCAAAATTGGGCTCAAAACTTCCATGCATGTAAGTTTTATAAACCTTTTTCTCAAATCCCATGTTTTAACAAACTTGAGCTCAAAAGCTCCATGCATGTGGGAAATTTCTCTTCAAAACATGAATTTAAATGGTAAAACAAGATGATTCAATCCTACATAAGCCGAATAACTTACAATAACAATTTAGATGGTCAATATCAAACTTAACATGACAAGGTTCAACATGTATGTAGGATTCTTTTCAAAACTTCTTCAAACATGGAATTTGCCTTCAAAGCTTGATCTAATATGCATGCATGTTAGTTTCATGGTCCCATGGTCCAAACTCAACATAATGATAGAGCTTATGATCAAAATGATGATTAACACTCATGAATGCATGCATGTGTGAATTGCAACTCAATTATACATTCTAAGCTCATAATATGCAATTAAACTCTTATTCTTCATGTATACTCATGTTTGATGATCTAGGCTCACAATTTAAGAGTTGAATTCTTACCTAGAGTCTCCAAATTCTCTTGTTCTTGTACAATCTTGAGCTTACAAACAATGATCATCAAGTTCTCTTTCACAATCTACACTTTTTCTCTAAAAGTGCACTCTCTCTCTCTCTCTCTCTCTCTCTCTCTCTCTCTCTAAAATATAATCTCAGATTTCAGGAGTTCAAAATGATGAAGGGATGAGCTCAAATGAGCTTAAGGGCCCACTTATATAGGTATAATGCCATAATACATTAATTGGAACCTTAAGCTTGCCAAACAAAACTTAATTAATCAGACTGAATCAATTTTTAATAAAATTTGCCATATGATTCTAAAAATTCTGAATAACATATTGATGTAACCAATTTCAATTTTAGATGCTGATAAGGCTTTCAATTTTCAAACCAAAGTAGAATTCCAGACAGATATTTCTACGAGTAACAGATAGGAAGCCAAACAACGTACAAAATACACAATAAACACATAATTTATTTTAATCACTTAATTAACGGTCTTAATTACCGATTAGTAATTAATTACGGATCGAGATTGTTACAGTAGTGTTCTTGAATAACGGGTGCAATACGGATTAGTTATGTGATATATTTTGTAATATATATATATATATATATATATATATATATTGGAGCTATGCGAATTACGGTAACGTGTGGGTTCGTTGTGAATTAAGAGTGAGATGTATGATCATTAGTAATCGCATGTTGAATGACCTAAGATCTTTATGTGAGGTTAAAAAAAATAAAAAAATAAAAAGTAAGAAGATAAAAGATTGAGTTTTCTTTAAAAAGTTAGTGGATTTTTGTGAAGAAGGTATTATCTATGTGTATTTTAGTTTGAATATAAAAGGCACATTATTTATCTGTATGTCACTATTTAATATTTATGATCGCATACATCTATTGATCTTATTGTTAGGAATCATTGTAGATCCTTACTGGGCATATTTGTCTATCCCATGTTTTACCATTTTCAGGAACGGAGTCGGAAACATCAATTTGAAGACCAAGAACTTTGTTGTCTTTTATGAGTATTATCTTGTAGAGAGTAAATGAAAGACATATTTTATTGTCAAGTGTTGTGATGTAATTATTAGTGTCGTACATCCAATGTAAATCTTGGCATGTACAGAAATTGCAATTTTTTTTTTTTTTTTTTGAGAGAGAGAGAGAACATTTTCTATTTACTTAAGTGTAACGTTATTCTTTTACATGTTATGCAATTGGACTTAAATTAAAGGTTTTGGTAATGTATCTAGATAATAAAATTTGGAGCGCGATAATACATATTTCAATTTCTTTACTATATCATTGTAAATGATTTTGTGAATCTCTATTATTTCTCTTAATTAATAATCTTAGTTTAAATTGGATACTAATTTAATAATATAAAAAAATTATTATTAATAATAACTTTGCTGAAAATAATCTTGAGGGAGAATGGGAATAGATGGGAATGTGATTCTAAGTTCCCATGATTATAGCATTTGGAAGAAAATAGAAAAGTGATTTTTAATTATCTATCTCTTACTACGAACCACATAACTAAACTAAGTAAGAAATAAGAGTCCAATTTTGTTAACAAAATTTATGTAAAGTCACAATCAACAGACGTTTAGCTACAAATTGAAGAATAACAAAAAATAATTTCATTACTCTTCAAAGAGAGTAAAAATTATGTCGATGAATAGAATTTTGTTACAAACTAATGCTATTCTACCTTTAGAAATTAAGATAAATTACTCCTAAGATGGGAAACAAAAAGAGAAATGTCTTTGATGTTGTTTTATGATCCTTACAAATGAACACAAATTACATATTAATAGATATAAAACCCTACAATAACTACCAATAACCACCCTAAAAACTACCATCCTTCTACAATGACATGTGGCCATCTAACAACTTCCTCTTGATCTCCTTTTGAAGTGCCATGTGTTTTCATCTCAAGTCTTCCAAAAACAATTATGCACCATCACCCTTTCAAATATGCTGCAACGTTGTAAAGTCAACAGAGAGTTTGATTGAAGAATTCATCATCGTCAAAGAAATTAAATTTTTGGTGCAAACAAAGTCCCATATTTTTTAATAGAAATTTGACATTTCAAATCAAGCTAAATCTTATATCTCAATCAAGTGAAAGCATCTACATGAATTTTTTTTCTCCATTCAGCTCTATCAAAACCTATATGATAAATTAAATTAAATAAATTCATGTCTTTTTTTATTACCATAGATCACAGTCTTACTGTTCCTCGCTCTCCGAGTTTGTTTCCCCTCTCTCTCTCTCTCCCGCTCCCAGCACGATCTCACCTCTACTAACATTATCTTCTCATAATGGTGTTCCGTGATTGATAACATTTTGTGTTTTCCCTTCTCCATCTTTGTTTATTTGTTGTTTATTTTTGGGTTTCGTGGTTTGGGTTGAATTGGTGGCTGTAATCAATAAGGAATGGTGGTATTGGGGTTGGGTTGGGGTTGGGGTTAGGGTTAGGGTTGGTGGTGGACCACCATTCTTGATAGTGGCAGTGGAATTAGGGTTCTAATGATAAGGGTTAGGGTTTCAACAATATGGTTTGATTTTGACGGTAATTTCGAGTGATTTGAGTTTTAATATTGTTATATTGGGTTTTGATTTTGATGTGGTGGTGGTGGTAGAGGGGAAAGGGGTGGTTGCGGGGTGGGTGTATGGTGATTGAGGAAAGTGAAAAGATGGAGTGGTAACTAGTGGTGGGAAGAAATGGAGAAACAAGAAATTGCGACCATTTCAAGTTTTCTTTTTCTTTGATTGTTTTTTTTTTTTGTCTATTTTATTGTTGAGGTTATTTTTGTCTTCTCACATTATGTTAAAAGAGTTCACTTTTGAAATCCATTCGAGGAGGAGCTCCTCTTTTCCTCTTTTTTTTTTTTTTTTTTTTTTTTTTTTTTTCATGCTATTGGAGCCAATTGTAATTTTGTTAATATCTAGTGGACGTTCATGTAATTTACTTAAAATTTTATCATTTTTCTATTGAGAATTCCTAACTATACCAAACGCTTATATAACATTGATACATGCTCATTCTCACTTAAGTTTTTTTTTTTTTTTTTTTTTCAACAAAAATCAATAATTAATTATTAAATTAATATCTAGAAAGAGTTGAACCTCCCAATCATTTTTTTGCAACCATTTATGTCTTGCCCTCATGTCCACTAGACCACAAGGCTTTGGACTTCCCACTTTAAGATTTCTATCACTCAAATAAAACCTAATAGTAATCAGAGGGGCTTTGTCTCATTATAACCAAACAAATTACAACTCAAAAAAACAAAAAAAAACAAAATACTCAACTCAATGTATCCACCCAAAACAATTACAACTCAATGCTCATTTGTTCAAGTAATTAGACGAATTAAAGCGACATGTCGGTTCAAACAAAACTAGTAGTCCTACTTACCTAAAATATTTTATCAAATTTTGATCATGAAAATAAGTGTGTACTAGTAATTTAAATTTAATATGATAAGGCTCCAAATTAATCCCGCAGATACATAAAATTCAGAAGAATATGTGAGTAATTCGTACACAGGGTTCTATTTGAAGTGAATTTAGATCACATATTTCAACCGTTCTTGCAGCCCCTCTTCGCTACCGACGTTGCTCATCCCTTCTTGTAAAACCTTCCGTGCTCCTCACTACCTCACTACCACACGGTTGTTGGCACTTCACTTTTCTTGAAGGACTATTGCTAAAGTCTAATGATAGAAAGCCCTTACTTCGTAGAGAAGTTGTGCCAAACAAGCATTTGCGCAAAGTGAATCCTTTTTCAGACTATACAAACTGTGGTCAATACACACTAAATCAACTACAGTAAGATTGATTTCGTTTTGCCAATGAACTTCTTTTTTTCTTTTTTTTTCCAGATAAGCTTCAACATGGACCCCTTGGATCCTTCCAAGATCATAAAATCTGGGGATGACCTAATCAAGTTCAGTATATCCTCACCAAAGGCTCTTTTATCTGATGTTAGGTTGGTTGGCTATGGCAAGTCTGCTTTCCATCAGTCTGCTTTCATGCCTCATCCGATTGGAAATTACCACCGATGGGTTTTGATGAAACATTACCTTTAAAATTACTTCCAAGTGTAATTTAAAATAAAATACTAATTTTGGCTATGAACCATCCAAAGGACAAGGAGTAAGTTCCAATTGGCAAAAAAAATATCTGTCAGTTGCAGTGCGAAACAACACATGACACTGGAAAGTAAATACAAAAACAAGTAGAAGTAATTACAATAAACCTTTGATATAGATAGCACATCAGAGTCTTTGGAAAACAAACAGAGAACCTCTGGAGCCTTTACCCAATCTAATCTTGTCATCAATGTATGTAATTTCCAACTTAACCTCACTCTGACCACCATACTGGAACTCTAACGCTCCAACCTTAAGTTGTGGTGGCTCGAATACTACCTGAATCCACTTCTCATCCAGAGCCTTCAATTTTCCTATGTTCATAAAGAAAATTCACCAAAACAAAATAAGATCGCACACAATAGCTGATGAATCCAATATCAAACAGAGAAAATCTCAACTGAGATCCAACAGACAAATCTCTGAAAATATCTATTTCAAATAATCAAAATTTGGTTGTGACACACATCCCCTATTTATAGGCAACCAACTCAACCACCAACTAATATTCTAACTAACTAATACAACACATTATATGCACATGACATGATTACTTGCATCAATAGCACAAGCACATATTACATGCAGTACAAATGAACCAGCGAGACTGCCACAAAAAAAAAAAAATAGTGACAGACAGTGACCAAGCATTGAAATCATGCCTGATGGTTTTTAATTACGAGCATAGGTGTTCTGATCAATTTAACTAAATGATCCAAAATCAAAGTTGTGGAAAGTTGTGGAGTGTGAGAAGAAGAAGTGGGAGGAAGGATTTCAAGCACCTGTCCACCTTAGCCTTCTAAAGCTAGAATACGCATTCTCCAAAAACCAGATCTGAAGACCATAGGCAAGGAAATATAAGAAGACTTGATCCAGATGTATTAATGTAGGAGAGTAACAAGCCAGATCGCTCAGCTCTGCTCTAGTTGATGACATTCTAAACTTAACTATATATGGGTGTTGATTCCCTAATTTGTGAAATAGGTTTGACCATGGTTTTAAAAACCGGACCGGACTGGCCGGTTCAACCGGTGACCGGATGGGGTTCCGGTCCGGTCAACCCTCTTAAACCGGCCAATTGAAAAAACCGGGCTATTTTTTGAAAACCGGTGAACCCACCGATTAAACCGGTCAACCCGGTCACGGGTTGATCGAACCGGTCCGGCCCTTTTTTTTTCTTGTTTTTTTATTTTCTTTCTTTTCTCTTTCTTTCTTATTTTATATATATATAATCCAAAATCAAAGTTGTGGAAAGTTGTGGAGCGTGAGAGGAAGAAGTGGGAGGAAGGATTTCAAGCACCTGTCCACCTTAGCCTTCTAAAGCTAGAATACGCATTCTCCAAAAACCAGATCTCAAGACCATAGGCAAGGAAATATAAGAAGACTTGATCCAGATGTATTAATGTAGGAGAGTAACAAGCCAGATTGCTCAGCTCTGCTCTAGTTGATGACATTCTAAACTTAACTATATATGGGTGTTGATTCCCTAATTTGTGAAATAGGTTTGACTCCTTCCAGGCTAAATGACAAGAATTCCAAAAAAAAATCTGAAAAATTGGCCTAGTTGAACGGTCAGAATGATATTTGATTAATTAAGAGAAAAAAGTAAATGAAAATAATAAATTTGTTAATTTTTCATCCTGAAACTATGAAAATTTTGCCAATGCATAGATTATTATTGTAATTTGAGTTTCTCATTGTTCCAATCGGCAATGGAGTGGATTAGACAGAGGTTGAAATTTCAAAGCTGTTGGACATCATTTGCCAAATGCTGATTAAAGACCCAACACTGTTGGCACATAGAATAGAAGGGGCACTCACTAGACCAGATTAATGTCTTAAAAGTAAAAAATTTAAAAAAAAAAAAAAAACACCACTAACCTCAAATGGTCAAATCAAGATAGACAAATGAGAAGACAAATGAGAAATTTTGACACAACTAAAACCTGACCAACATTCACAGTAGATTGGCTGAATGACTTTGCCTTGAGACAGGCTTTACTCACGATTCATTCATGGAAAACCAATCTCATAAGTCTAAAATTCACTCCTACGTGATATGGTTTTAACTCCATTAATTAGTAGTTTGGACAGCGGAGTTTACCTTCCAAAGAGACCTCTCCATCAAGGAACCCGAAGACAGAAAAGGATACTCTGTTCCTCACAGTGTCAGGAGCTTCAACAAACTGAATCATTTCTTTTGTTTTGAAAACAAGACGGCCGAATGCACTCCTGTATCCACCTCCAGGTGATGTAGGCACAGAACAATACACCACATCCCACTCTGTAGAGCATAAATTAATTAATCAATAGTGCTTTAATGAAACCTAAAGTACACTACTTCTGAACTTCTCAATAATATAACTCAAAATAATAATAAAAGCATTTCCACATTCATACAGAATATGAGATGCTCCTGATTTTGCACTGTAAATTGTTTTGAAATCACACACCAAAACAAACATTTACATTTTCTAGAACTCTACACATATGGCGGTGATGGTGATGACGATGATGACCTTCTCCCCTAGTTATGCGCAATAAGGCCAACTGAGTTAATGGATGAACTTCTGAAAACTGATGATGATGATGATGGTGATTACAGTTATGTTCATTATTGATGCCGAGTGAAGATCTAAGCAAAATGGACACTTCTACGGAGGAAGTGTGTCATGTCCGACACTGGCTTCAAACACTCGTAAATGCGTGTTTGACACTTCTTGAACATGTCTTAATTAAAAAAATCATATTCATAATATCGGACACTTACACTTTGACAACACTTATTGAACCATCTAAAGACGTATGTTTTGAAACATTAATAAAAATGAATACGTCATATGTTGCAATGTTCTATAAAAATGTAATTGTTACATGAATGATATCTTAATGTTCAAGTTATGAAATATATAGCTGTCAAATGTAATTAGTGTTATTTTACACGTTTTTCATTATCTTTGAATAAATTATTCATATATATGACATAAATAATTTGTACGATATAAAATTTTAACGTGTCCTTAGCGTGTCTTGTCTTGTATTTTTTTTAAAATCGAGGTGTCATCATGTTCATGTCATGTCACGTGTCCATGTATGTGCTATTTAGGATATATTACTTTTCATAAGTTAAGAAAAACATATGTAAAAATTCCTTTTTGTTTTGAACATTCCATTTAGTTAAGAAAAAGAACTCTCCAAGAAAAAGACACGATGAGACTATGGAAATTAAGTGGGAGAATTAAAGATTGAGCAGAAGATTATCATAATCCAAACATACAATGTGTCACGAGGAGAGATGGATGAAATCATTCAGGAACAAACAGCATTGCTACTCGTTGACAATGGATTTGGGTGGAATCTAAGAAGCACGGGCATGGATATGGATACGGATGCGGACACGGGACAAGGCAATTTCAAAAAAATGGAGACACGGACACGACAGGGACACCACAATAAAATATGTTTTCGTATATTTTTATTTGCTCTCTAAATTATTATTACATTCACAAACAATCAATATTAACAAAAAACTAACTCTAATTCTTTTTTTTTTTAAATACTTTTAAATTAACACTTACGGTTTATATCTTTTTTTATGGATAATCTATTAAGCATTTAAATCTAAGAAAAAAATAATAAACATTCAACATTCATCAAAAGTACTAAATAAAATGAGGAAAAAGACAACTTGGCATATCCCCAACGTGTCCCCGAAGTGTCCCCAACGTGCCCCCTGAAAATAAATTAGTTAAATAAGGGGGCACGCCATGTGGTGTGTCATATGTGACCCCGAAGTGTCCGCGTGTCCGACACGGACACGGCACTTGTTTTGAAGTGTCGGTGCCTTAGAGGGTTGAATGCATTAGGCAATACATGTTTTGAAGGAAGTGGCTAGAACCAAGCATGATGGTTCTTTTGTTAGGAGTTTTAGAAGGTCTTTGTTTGTTTTTGGATTCAAAAATTCTCAAATAAGAGAGGTGTTTTTGTGGAGACGACGAAGTGGACATTAGGATCAAAATGAGCCAAAATCATCCTAAGGCATACAAATGAAATACGAGAGTTTAAATGAAGAAGAAAAATAATAGGGACCACCCATAATGGCTCCAAGTCCCATACCATAACATAGTGTGGAAACCCCACCGGAAGTGCTATTCCAGGTCCCTCTTCTTCCCCAAAACAAACAAGTTCAAAATAAATTATGATTACAAGAGTTCACTACTCTTCATTTACTTCATCAGCTGGATTGAGAAATTATTGGTGGTAGGGTATGGCTTCCTTGCTTAGCCAGGTACCGTATGCTGACAAATTAGGATCAACGGCGGAACTAGAAATTGGTTTAGCAGGGTGCCAAGGTATGTATGTAAAAAATATATATATACATATATATATACATACCATTTGCTTTATAAACACACACACACACAAACAAAAAGGTGACATGTACCACTTATATTAATAACATCAACTTGATAAAATTTATATTATTAACTAACATGTGAAATAATAGGAGATCATTTCATTATACATTGTGAAATAATATTGAAATAGATAAATTTTTTTATTTGCTATTGACATATATAGTTACTAGAGTGTTTTTTTTATTTTAGTATTTTTTTTTTTAAATTAGGAATAATCTTGTATGCATGTTGTAAATACTAATAAAATATTTATAAAAAAAAATTTGCAAGGCTAGTGGTGCTTTTAGGCTGGAAGATGAATTTGCAGATAAGGAGAGAAGGACGCACAGAACAGGGGTGAATCTATGGTACATGAACTCGAGTACGGGTATCGAGTGCATATCTAGAGGTCGGATTCATCAAATCTCAAATTTAAGGGTTCAAACTCGGCAAAAAAGAGTCATATTTTTATATTTTTAATCTATTATGTGAGATAAAATGATATTATAGCAACGTCAAAAAGGTGTTTTATAGCAATTATACAATAAATGATACATATAACTTACAAGATAGTGTTAAATACAAATATATGATAAGTGTCGAATAGAAAGTATCGGACACATATCCCACATCGTTGTCCGAGTGTCGAGTGTCCAACACAGGTATTTGATTTATTTTGAAGAGTCCATATAACAAAGGGGGTGAACAGATAGTCATGGTTTGCAGACTTATTTAAGCGTTCACCATCATTAGGTGCCTAGAGAGGGAAGAATGTTGATTGCGATTCTGCAGTAGTGTGTACCAGAAAAAATCTGCACGACTCTTGCTCTGCCATCCAAAAGACTCTGGGTAGAAATTATAAGAGGAGTTTTATCCTTCATGCCCCTACAAAGGCTTGAACCCCCAACCTCCCCTACGAGAGCGTCGCTTGGACATTATCTCACAAGAAGCTTAATACCAATGAAATGATTCAAAAGAAAAGGCCAAATTGCAATTTATTCCTGCAATGGTGTGTTATGTGTAAGGGGACAGAAGTAAGTATAGATCATTAAATTTTCCATTGCCCTAATACTCTATCTTATATGGTGAAAAGTATTTTATTTACCAGAGATTGATTGGGTTATTCACATCTTGTGAGCATTGATTGGGTTAGCTTCCTTTTGGGTTTCAATGGCTCCTTTCAAAGGGGTACCACATTTTTAATTGCAAGGGATTGGAGAGCTGTCTGTAGAATGTGAGGCATTTTCGAAGATCTTTTTGTTTTGATTTACTTTTTGTTTCTTTTTTGGTAGACTTCCCTTTTACTCTTTAATGGACTTTCTTTTTGTTGGCAATCTGATATCTTGTGTAAACCCCACATGTAAAATATTGTATAGAGAAAGATGAAAGAGAATAAATTGTGTAGTCATATATATTTGTTGTATTGAATGTATACAATGACTCTCCTATATATAGAAGAGAAAAACATACTCACCTACCACACTCAACTCTCACCTAACACACTTACATCTACCTACCACACTCAACTCTCACCTAACACACTTACATCTACCTACCACACTCAACTCTCACCTAACACACTTACATCTACCTACCACACTCAACTCTCACCTAACACACTTACATCTACCTACCACACTCAACTCTCACCTAACACACTTACATCTACCTACCACACTCAACTCTCACCTAACACACTCAACTCTACCTACCACACTTACAGCCCCCCTCAAACTCAAGGAGGATAGATACTAACCAACTTGAGTTTGGAGAGAGTAACAAAACAGGAAAGTAAACTGATAAATAAAATAAAACAGGATAGGAGACACGGTATGGTCGTGTCAGACCGTTGTAGAAGACAGTTTTATGGGGTCATGTCGGACCGTTGTAGCAGCTGACCGGAATCAATGTCGGGACAGTTTACGGGGTCATGTCGGACCGTTGTAGAAGACATTTATGGGGTCATGTCGGACCGATGTAAAATACACTGTATGATGGTGTATATAGGCTGCCCAAATATATATATATACATGGATATATATATCGAGCTCTCAAAAGTCGCGCCCTCAAAAGGCGCGCCCACTTCATCAAAAGACGTGCCCGACAGGAAAGCGTCAAGCCATCAAAAGGGGCGCCGGACACGCGGCGATGCACGTGATTGACAGAGCGCGTGTCGGCCTCGTCGTCTTTGTCTTTATAAACCAAAAGCGAAGTCTGAGGCTTGAAGCATAACAAACCAGTTGAAACCTCTTCGTTCTCTGTAACATCTGAAACATCTGTAACAGCCGAAACACTCAGCAACCCATAACATGGCCTCTTCTTCCCGTGGTCTGCTCACTCTCTTTCCCGACCTCAACGAGTCAACAAGAGAATAACTGGTGCGGTGGCCCGTGAACCTCAACCAAACACCTCTGGTTTTGCTCCGTTGAACTTTCCGATGCGGTCTGTGAGCAAAAAAATGGCGGTGCAAACGGATATGAGGCCAATCAGTATACTTTGAAGTCATGTGTGGAGACCATGACGACGGTCACAAAACTTGTCGCACCGGCTGCAGAGTAGGACAAATGAGGTGCAGCAGTTAAACGCCCAACTGGCTCTGCTCCAACGCATGTATAAGGATGCGCGAGCAGAGATAAGTTGGCTAAAGGCAGAAAATAAGGAGCTGAAGCGGAAAAGCCACCGTTTATGTTCCGATTTTGGAGTCCGCCATATGCTGCAGTGGAGGAACAGGGAGTAGTGATCGTGCCCAGTGGAGTGGGAAACACGGAGGCAACACCGTCAAGGACCGCCCAGGACGGAGGCAAGAAGAAAAGACCTGGCAGCAGAGTAGAGAAGAAAAATCCCGCCTGTGGAGGTGGTGGTTGTGGTTTCGCGTTGTTTGTTTGTTTGTTTGTTTTTTTTTTTTTTTTTTTTGGTGTAAAATGGTGATCGGGGTTGATCCCGGCATGAAGAAATGACAAGTGTGTGGAATGAAAACGCAGTTCGTTGTGTTTTTTTTTTTTTTTTTTTTTTTTTTTGGAATAAAAATAAAATAAAATAATAAGAGAATGGAAAAAAGATGATGCTCACCAACTGAGTTGTAGAATATTGAAATATTGATGAAAAAGAAAGATAGAAAAAAAAAATTAAAAATAAAATAAAATAAAGGTTTGTGAAAAATCATTATATATATATATATTGATGAATCAGTGGATATAGGGTGAGTGAAGGATAATAGTGTGGGTAATATATTATAATAATAAAAGATATATATGCTTTGTCCCTTGAATCGGTGTGTGGGTAATATATTATAATAATAAAAGATATATATGCTTTGTCCCTTGAATCGGTAGATATATGGTGAGTGGAGTGCAAAAGGTGAAGGAATGGGTTGGAAAGTTGACAAAGTGGTGGATCCTTGAGTAGAGAGAGAGAAAAAAGGACCAGAGAGAGAGATAGTGGGTTGATTAAAAAAAAAAAAGATTGTGGGGTTGAAAGTGGAAATATGAGAGAGAGAAAGAGAGATAGATTCGGACACCAGCCCAAACTGAACAATTGCATATAACCAGGCAAATTTTCTCCTCACCATAGTTGCTGAAGTTATGGAGGCAAAGAGACCCAATATACAGGAAAATGGCAGGGATATGGCAATTGCACCCGATCCCATCTTCATAACCTGTATTGAGCAATTTCAGCTTGCCGAGCTCTATTTCCTCGCAAGTTATGTGACTGAGCATTTTGAATCCGTAAAAGGGTGACAGGTAGGTTCTGAACCTCTTGTTTGCACACGTCACACATCTTGTTACCTTTGATGCTGAACCATTTTACAGCACATTCTTGGTGAGCCAATGCGAGCTCGCCTTTGCAGCTACATTCCATCTTAAGGGTGTCACCGCCCTCCCCAAGTTCAACCAAGCAGATCCTACAAACAGCTGCTTCTTCGGGAATGTCTTCATCAACATCAGCATTTCCATCAACATCATTTGTTGGAGCTGTGGTCGATGTTGTGAGCATTCCTTCTGCCACTCGCGGAGTAGTGGGAACCACGCGAAATACACCGCTTAATGGATCAATCTGCCTTACGCTTCCTTCTTTGATTAAAGAAGGAACGGACCGTGAACGATGAATAGGAAGCTGAGTCCTATTTTTAGCTTCGACTGTGTTCCCTCCATGCATAGACTCCGGATTTGAGTGTATAATTGGGGTAACAGGTAAAGATGAAGTTCTTTTCATCTTGGGTGTGAAAAGTTTTGTAAGGGATAGTGTCCTTCGAATCAGAGGCTTACCCCGCGTCCCTGCTAGTGAATCTCCCAAAGCTAGGATTGCGGCCTTCTCTATCTCTGAAGTAGTATTCCGAAATTTGAAGCTTAGTTTTGGAAGGAGGCTTTTGAAGGATGATTTACCTCTAGAAGACATCAAGGGACTTGGACAATCATTGAATTTGTAATAACTTGGGCTTTAAGTTTTTCATTGAACAATATTCCTACAGTCCTCAGACTTCATTCAAGGAAGTTCATAATCACCAAATGGAGCACCAAATTGCAGAGAACAAAGTCTGCAAAAGCACGTTCTGGTGGTAAATCCTTGAATTCCTTGTTTTCTTTGTACACTTGGATACGGAGACAAACAGCAAGAACTGCTGTCCCTACACAAGAAAGAACTCCCGAGAGAAAAGAGTTGAATGGGAAGGATCCAACAATAGCCATGTAAACTACCTGAATCAGAGCAGTGAAGACCGCAAACATCGCGTACAGATTGATGATCTTGAGGTTTGTGGGAGTGACTGCATAAGCAGAACGGAGCGAGTGGAACAGTGCTTGAGCACTGTGATGGAAGTCATGCAGAAACAGTTGAGAGATGAGAGGTCCGGCGGGCGGCCAAGGCGAGGCCCCCCCCCGCCGGTGAAGCGAAAATACTAGGTTCTCAACCTTGCTCTGATACCATGTAAAATATTGTATAGAGAAAGATGAAAGAGAATAAATTGTGTAGTCATATATATTTGTTGTATTGAATGTATACAATGACTCTCCTATATATAGAAGAGAAAAACATATGTAAAACCACATGCTCTAAAATGTGATACAATAGATGTAGGCTTCCATAGATTACATTACTGAAATTTGAAGTGTTTTTAATCGTGAAAGTAAATTTCTTTTAACATTTAGACTTCCAATAAAATATAGTCTATTATTCTTCGAATTAATCACTTAAAAACACATTTCTAAATGCATTATGAACCCATTTTTCGTTGTTTCACCAAACCTGCATTCTAACTTATGGCAGTCCGAGGTTTTACCATTGCACCAAGTAATGCCCAAAACAAAGAAAATTAATTTATGAAGCAAAATTATCAAACAAACTACTTAAGAGACAACATAATTGTTTCTCAAAATTGGCATTTCACTAGTCAAATACATTTTAGACAAAATCATAAGAACCCGTAGCTGGAATGGGAGTAGAAAGCACGAAGGATAAATTTAATTCAGCAAAATGGAAATTTTGTGGGACTTCTTCACAAGGAATTACTTGGATTTTACCTCCAAATATAAGAGGGCATTTTACAGGCTCATCAACACAAAATCTTCCCAATTCTTGGGCCACTTCAGCTACCTTGTTGTGTTCATCCCTTGTCAGCAAAACTCCTCTATCTGTTTGTGTAACCTAATTGAGAGACACAATTTTGTTTTGATGACTAAAATTTTAAAACCAAAGGAAAACACCACACATGACATTGCTGAAATGTTACTTTTCTAGTAGACATAATTTTAAAAAGAGGTAGAGAAGCAGAAACAACACAAGTACAACTTTCAATAACAACCAAGAAGAGAATGCTAAAGCTGGTGCTAGTGAAAGGCCAAAAGTACGGAGATACCAATATTGACGTTAGTGGAGAAAATAAACAAACGAATAATGAGTTCGGAGATTGGTTGTAAAATCCGGAAGCATGGAAGAGACAATATCACATGGAGTTCATTCAGTTTACTGTCATATCTAGCAATTGAAACTCCTAAGTGCTAACATCAGTATGGCTTTTTATTTGTGCTTTTACAACTTACTGATTCTTAATTAACATATTCTGCATTCATTTTATCGACGCAAAAGGTTGGAAAGTTAAGGTTTAGAAATGTAATTCCTTGGTCAACAATTCAAAAGGAGTGTTTAGTGCAAATGATATTTCCGTAAGTTCAACCTTATCTATTATTAGATTAATGATATAATCAATGACCTAAATGCAATGCTAATCCTAATGGTCCAATTATAGTTCTTTCTTTTCTACTTTCTGGAGATTTAGAAAGAAAGTAACACTCATTTTGAAGCAGAAGTTCCCAATAGCTGGCACGTGATTGAGCTGGCTGCAATATCTGCATATTAAAAAGCTTTCAAAGTCTCTGGTAGTAACCTCACTCTTGCTGGATTTACTAGCATAAATCTCACATGGCATTTCAAACTTGATTGAGAACATAAATAATCAAGTTACCCGTCTTCCTAGAAGCTTACGCTATTAGAGAAGTTGGTGGCCAACAAATCAACCTGGTATCAGAGCAAGCAACCGTGTTTGAGCCTCACTACCCACCTAACAACCATAAATTAATAGTTGTATGTGTTTGGCCTGCCTTATGGAGCAAAGGCTAGCAATCGTGAAGGTGCATATAAAAAAGTTAACCTTTCTCTAAGAGCTTAAGCTTTTAGATGCGTTGGTGGTTAACAATTCAATAAAACTTGGCTCTAATGGTCCTCATTGAAGAATGTAGGAAACTCCAATGGAGGGGTAAGCCACAGATGCGAGTGGAAATTCTGAGTTTGGTTATGCCTTATAATACAATGTTCAATCTAATTCTATTATTAGGGAACTGCAAGTTCATACGGATGGATTTAATTTTTGTCACCTAGTTACTGTCTATAAGGTTGAGGTTGACGACTGTGATTCCAATCTCTTGGTTGATGTTTTCAATGGACCGAAAAAAAACATGCAGGATCTACCAAAGCTAATTGAGTTCAGCTCCCGTACTTCTACCATGAATCATTTGTTGACATGTAGGTACATAAAACGGCTTCTGCCTTTGTCTGATGCAAAATCAGCTCATAAGTTGTAGGCCACTTGGGAATAATTTAGTTCTAGGCTTTTACCGTCCCCCCAAACCCACCCTAGCAGGGGTCTTCACTACACCAAATGTCCGTGCCAAAAAAGATCAGGTTTGTAATAATATGACTTGAAGGCAAGGTCAATGTAACTTTACGAACATTACGGTGGGTCCTTGTGATCTACATAAACATCTATGAATAATAGATTAGTGTGTTTGCTCTCAATTCTAGAATTAAATACTTGTTTGTGCAATAAAAACTATATAATCAATCACCAACTCAATTAAAATCAACATTACAAGCCTTTGTCCAAATACATGAAAACTGTACAGGCCTAGCTAGGCGATGTTTTTCCATTATGCTCACTGTAGGTAATAGATAGATAAATATACCTAACATTAATTATAAGCTAATTTGTTATTCTAACTCCTCAAGCCTATGTCCATCAATCTTTCTACCATCTTAGCTAAACTGTTTTTATTTGAAGTACATTTATGCAAGTACAACTGTACAACCTAATTTAAGTAATCCCAAGTTTGTATTTAACTAAGAATTTTACATGCAATGTAATTTCAGAACACCTAAAATATGCTTCTCATGATTCTACTGATCTCTTGAAGTTGTTTTCTTTTCCAAATATGGGGTTTACCAGTCAATAATCATTTCCTCTAACACACTCCAATCCCCCCAAAAGAAAGAAAGAAAAAAGAAAACACAAATGACAAACAAAAAACAATATATATATATGTGTGTGTGTGTGTATAGAGAGAGAGAGGGAGAGAAGCAGACCAAAAAAACTGGAAGATTTATTTAAATGTCTCATTTTTAAATCTTGCTAAGCTTGTCAAAGACACTAGAGCAGGTCCCTCAAGAGACCAGCAAATATTAATAACCTGCACAGCAAATAGATTAAAAGAAAGATCTTGATGGTACGTTTTATTCATTAACAAAATATCAAAAGATCCTTAATATAATGAAAAAACTAAAAAATATGCACAGAAATTGCAATATCTATAAAGTATAAAAGGGGTACCAATAACGTGAAGATAAGAATCTTAACATCATAATTTATATAAGAAAGGAACTTAAATATCTACATTCATGCTTCAAGTCTTGAATAGATTCAATTCAACCACATTGTCATAATTCCAAATTGTCAAAAATACATATTCAAACACAAATGAAAATGTAGAAGTGATTCAAGCAATTGAGTAGCCATCTAACCTGACAGCTAAAACCCCACCCTATATCTTTTCATTTTGCTATTCTCATCAAGCCTCCCAATCCCAAAGCCAATTTAAGTGTTTTAGGGTTGAACTATACAATTACTGAGCCAGAGAGCTCTCCTTCAATAGACAAATAATTTGATCATTCTCTCTATTAACTTCCAAATTAAAAATCATGAAATCTTTTTCCCTAAATTTCCTCTAAGAAAAAGGAAAACTTTTGAAGCCAACTTTCAATAGTCTAAAGAGCACCTAATTATTTTAGTGCTAAAATAGTTGCATTTTATTAATATAGTTAGTACAAGAATAATACCAGAGAAGAAGAAGAAGAAAACTTCTTGATCTATGGTGTTCTAGAATCTCACCACCTATGAAGCATGGGTACTTCAACAAATATGCCGTACCTGTACCGAGTACTTACCAACGTATGGTACTTTGTATGGTACTTCTACATACATACCGTGTACACGAAACACATTCCTAGTATATATCCAAGCCGTACCATACCTTAATCGAAACAATATTTTCTTCTACTACAAAGATAAAACTCATTTCACTAAACTTCTTTTTTATTTTTAGTTTTATACTTAACATGATTTAAAATTAAACTATGGTTTGTAAGTTATTTAATATAATGACATTTAATTGTGATTTATGCCTTTATTTTTGGCATTTACTGTTAATTATAGGTTGGATATTAACAAAATTAAACCATTTAATCAATTTTTGCGTTAGTCCAACTTAAAAATAAATATTTTTTACAAACGTACCAAATCGTACTCGTTTGGATCTTTTTTTGGATTTTAACGTATCGGCGTACCCGTACTATACCAATACTAGTACTTGTACCCATACCAATGTTTCATAGCTTCCCACAAAAAACAAGTTTACTGAAAGTGATCACTCATAACTATTTATATGAAGTTTTACTTAACCCAAATACATGAGAACATTATGGTTGTCTTTTGTGAACATTGCTAAGCTTTGAGAAAACATGTGTTTATGTTCCAAGTCCTGTAGTGAACATTGCTGAGCTTTGAAAAAACATGTGTTTGCGTTCCAACTTCCAAGTCCCGTAAAATATGAACATGTCTTGATTGGGCTTAGTAAGATACAAATTGAGGTACGCAATATTAAACAAGGGATCTATCACCATCAAGTAAAGGTTTAGAATGTCCCATATGATGAAAAATGTCTAGATACCTCTTGTCATTTTTATGCTGACAATTTCATTCTAAAGACAACGGTGAGATAGTATTTTATTTTTAAGCTTAGTTGAGTCTTGAGCAGTTCTTTAGTTGAAGATTCAAGATTGAAGATTCAAGCTAAATGCTGACTGAAAGAACAGACAAACTCTTGATGATGGGGTTGGCTAGAGAACAAATACACTTGGTTTTCTAGGATACTTATAGATAGGCCTATATATGTAATACTGTGTTACTAATAGGTTTTACAAACTCTCTGTTCTTCCCCCCTTCTTTTTCTCACCGTCTCCCTTTCTCCCCTATTTATTTCTTCCTCTTCTTCTCTACCGATTTCTTTCATTCATTGTGCTGCATCAAGCAGTCTATGAAAAATATAAAAGGACGGGAAAGACTTCTAGGCAATGTTTATTAGACCAAACAAGACCGGCCCGACCAGTTGATCCATTAGATAAACGGCTTATTTTCATTAAATCGGCAAAACCCATGGTTGAATGTAGCTGGCTCTATAAACCAGCCAACGTGAAATGCGCGGGTGCCTGGTCGAGTAATCTTGAAAAATTCTTCCCCAATGAGGTTCAAACACAGCTCCTGCTGTGTGATTGGGCTGAACTTTACCATTAGACAAACATAACGTTTTTAATATTAAAATATAAAATAATTTTAATATATTTATAAAGTAATTATGACATTACCATATTGATTTAATCAACGTACTGGTTGGTGTTGAAAATTAGTATACTGTGCATTAAAAAATAATAATAATAAAATCTTACCTATCCAAAGATTGTCATGTTTATTTAATCTTGAATTGAATGAGCTTAGATAAAAAGAATTCAGTCCAACAAACGCAGAGTGACACCAAAGAATACCATTCTATTCTATATAGAAATAGAGAGATACACAACACACATAGGTCATGTTTGATTCACAAACTAATAGTGAAATATTAATAATCCAATTAAATTAGTGTGGTATTCATTATCCAATTAGATTAATATCCATTGATTAATAATCCCATCCCACCCCATTACTAATAATTCTACAAATTTTGGATTAATTATCCATTACATTAATTTCACTAAACAAAAATGTTAAAAAACTTAGTATAATTGGGCCACGGAATAATAATCCCAATCTCATGCTCTAACCACCCAATCAAACATGGCCAATAGAGAAAACTTATTAATCACAATCCTTAATGCTCTATTTGGTTGATTCGAATGAGATGAAATGGTGATTAGTTAGCTTTTTTCTTTTTTTTTTAGAATGACCATTCCTATATCTTTCATTCCGTTTTATTTTAGTTAACCAAACACTACCTAAGCTAAATGGAATCGTTAATCACAATTCACAATGAATGATGATTCAATTCCATCACATTTTTTAATGAACCAAACAAATAAATAGAAGAGCAGAGCACAAGAGGAGGAGGAGGAGGAGGAAGGAAGAAAGAAGAAACCATGGAAAGAAGGAGTTGACTAGCTCATCGGGCCTGGTGCGTAGCTCCTCCTTGGCTTAGATGATATCGATGCGGAGATTCCGGTGACTGTGACCCCAACCACGACCACCAGGACGCGCCGCCGCATATCCGCTGAGATTTAGGAGTTGTTTGGATATTTCGGGTCCAGCTAGGCCTCTCCAAGTTGTGGATGAGAAAAGAAAAGAGCTGAAGATGAAATGAAATGAAGATGAAGATGAATGAGATGAAAGAGCAGCAGCCATTGCCATATCTACACACAGACCAATGGAGTGACAGGACTTTAGTTATGAATCCACAACTTATTTTAATTTTTTTTTTTTTTCATGTATATCTAAAATAGGGTAAATTACATTTTTCTCTGTTTATTATTTTTTACTTGCCTTTTTTTTTTTTTTTTAACTCTTTGTATTTTGAATTTCTCAATTTATTCCTAAAATTAACTTCTATTTCAAAATTAAATAAAAAATATCATAATAAGAAGTTGTTTTGGTGTCCTAAATAAGTGTATTTTTTTTACTTTTTAAACTAAAAAATGAGAAAAAAATATGATTTTTGGATTAATTTTTTGATTTTTTACAAAAATAGTGTATTAAAAAATTGTATAAATGAGTGTGTAGGAGAAGAAGATAAGAACAGGAGAAAGTAGCCGTACCGTTGGGGAGGAATTAATGATAGAAATGGTTGTCTACTTTTCGGCATTGCATTAGACGGGATTGTTCGGTCCGTGAAGCGTATCACGGTTCCGTTTTAATAATCTGAACCGTTAATGTAAGAATCGTCGAGTATTATATATCTGTAAAAATCAAGTTGATCGATATCGATAGTTATCTGAATCGATTAGTTTTTTTTCAACCGTTAACTATAACACATCTTTTTTTTTATACAAAACTGATTTAATTATATAGTTAGTGATAACGATCAAAGTGATTTTTTACAGACATATAGTACTCAACGAGTCCACATATTGAACGGTTCAAATTATCAAAACGGGACCTATGATGGGCCTCCACGGGCCAAACATCACTGTGTTGTTTTTGCGCACCTTGTTTGTGCACCCCGCCTGTGTAATTTTTCCAAATCATTTCAGCAACTCAACAACCGTCTGTGGGACGGTTCAAACTAAGTTGTAATAATTTGTGTGTGAAATTATTATTATTTTTTTGGTGAATAGTGATAACTTTTTAACTTTTTTAATAATTTTTTGACTTTTTGAATTTTTTTGAGTATCCTAAACCAACCCTAATTGTCACATAATATAAATATATATATATATATATATTATATTGAATTTTAAATTTATATAGAGAGTTATATATAATAAATTATTTTTATATCACGTAACTGTCAATATGTCATTTTTTGTCTTATTTCTAACAAAAATTAGTTGTTGCAGTAAACTGTGAAAAACTTGAAACCTGAAAGGCCAAAGTAAGAAGAACAAACTTTAAGGGTCAAAGTGAGAAAGTAGCCAAATATAAAAGGGGAAAAGCATAATTTACCATTTAAAATAAGATTAATGATTCATCCACACAATTTTTTTTTTCCTAAACTCCCAAATAAGACTCGTACCGATAAAAGTTTGATTTCTTACCTGTAAAAGTCTCATAAAAAAAAAAAAAATTGTGGATAAATTATTATTGTTGAAATAATTTAACTTAACTCGCTCATTTAATAAATAAGTTTAGGTAGGTTGAGTTGAATTGAATACTAATCAAACAAATAAATCTAATTAATTCATTAACTTTATTATTATTTATTTCTCAATAGATAGTGGAATTGGTAGGGGACTAACAACGACAATGATGATGAAGTGGTGGAGGTGGTGGTGGTGATGAAGTACCAGCAGCAGTTATGATAGAGTAGTGGTAGAGGTAATGACAATTATGGTGAAGTAGTGTTGGGATCGTAGTGATAGAAGTGGTTCCAATGTTAGCATTTATAAGGAGATTTTTTTCTTTTTTTATGATCAGGTATTTAGGTCAATTTGGACACATTTCGATTAATTTCAAAACCCTCAATTTAACAATCAGATAAACTCTCAATAACCTCTTGGAATAACTCAAACTAAAGACGTTAAATCTTATTTACAAATTTTATCGCTCAAATGGTGCTACATGTGGTGGAGCTAATGGAGCATAGGTTCTTGTTGGCTTGTGCAACAATATGACAGTGCCAAAGTTACAAGCTACGGTTAAAAAATCATGTTAAAATTTCAAACAGTGCTAGAAATACAAATGTGTTTGATTTCATTCTGCTAAACATATTTGTGTTCTTAGAATTATTATAAAATTTCCCAAATTTACAATTGGGTAATAGTACTTTTACGTATTTTATTAAACAATGAATTACATACACATGCAGCTTACATGCGGTAGCGTGGGGAGCAGATGGTGTACTCATTTAAATAGGTACCCCCTTCTAATCTATTTAAACTCTTTGAGTTTGGAAGGAGAAATTGTTCAAGTATTGTTTCACAACATTTAAATTTGGACAAGTGTTCACTTGTCTCTTTAAAAAAATAAATAAATAGTGAGATCCACTATTTTAACCAATAACATTGAGGTTGGGATACCACTTAAATTTACATCTAGAGTAATGAATAATTTCTCGTTTAGAAGATATAATCCATTTGAACTAATTTATACGAGGCACAATCCATTTTAATTATATTTATTAATATAAATGAATTTAAACTAAACTTTAACGAATTTAATTGGATGGATTCACCATTTTAGATTGAGTTTGTCATTTCTAAAGATAGTAATGAATTGTATGACGTCAGCAACTATTTTTTGAAAATACTAAACTTCTTTCTTCTTTTTTTTCCTTTTTTCTCTTTCTCTATCTTTTCTTGCTTATCTATATTTCTTTTAGCCTAGCTGCATTCACCCCAATGTTGTGTTTGGTCGGGGGATTTGGGAAGAGATTTGGAAAGGGAAATAGAAAAGATAGGTGAAATGTGAATAAATCATGCCTATATTTTACATAGTTTCACACACCTTTTCCCTTTTCCTTTCTAAATCTCTCCCTAAATCCCTCAACCAAACACAGCATAAGAGTGCAACAAGACTCAACACCAATCACATCTATTCAAAGAAAATGTTTCAGCCGGTAAAAGTTTCTCCGATGACCTTTTTAAATGTGATTTGTTACCTATTATAATTAGTATTATCATATTTTAATTATTCTAATGGATTAATTATTATAATAGTTATTTTAACAAAAAATTTCAATGCTAACTACATTTGAAGAGTGACTTTTTAAACAGTTTATGTGCGTAGATAGATAAAATAAATAGTAACATTGGAATACATAAATAAAAAAAAGAAATAGACAAAATAGAGAATTACTTTTTATATTTTAGCTAGTAAAAAATAAAGAGTATGGTTGGAATTACTCTAAGAACATTTCCAATTGACTCTTTAAATGAGACATGTTAGCTATTGTAGCTAGCATTATCCTATTTTAGTCATTTTAACCGGCTAACTATTTTAACAAAATTCTTTCAAACTAGTTACATTTAAAAGCCTTAGGAAGTTCTTTAAACATTTTGTGTGTATAAATTTATAAAATAAAAATAACATTTGAATACATAGATTAAAAAAATTAAACAAAATAAAGAATTATTTTTTTATATTTTAATTAGTAAAAAATAAAAAATATGATTAGAGTTGCTCTAAGAAAGACATTTTACTTTTCAATATTCTATCTAGCAAGGTGCTGGGTGGCTCTATTTACACACCACATTTTCTCTCAAGGCAAACCATTAATTAATTTATTTTTTATTACAATTTTAACCTTAAATGAAATGACTATTAAGGACAAATTATAATACACACCATTTATATATTTACCATAAAAGACAAGAATCAATATAATATAAATCATTAATTCAAACTTGTTCCTTACGTATCTTCTTTGTTAAGAATACAAAAACCCTAAAATCAAAACCAAAAATTCTTCAACAAATAATCAAAAATATAATATTATTGAAGATTTTGAATGGATTCAATGAAGAATGAATCTGACAACTTTGATTCACAACAATGGAACAAGGAAGAGGTTTTTTTTTTTTTTTTTTTTCGTTTTCGTCTCCTTGCTGTACAGTTCGGTTCACCAGAGCCACATTATATCGTTGATCGACTTATTATTTGTTCGATTAACTACAATCGAGCATAATGAATGTTTGACCAACAACAACCGAACAAAATGCACTTGTTCAACATGCTACGGTCGAACAAAATGCACTTGTTCAACATACTACGGTCGAACAAAGTACATTTGTTCAACATACTACGGTCGAACAAAATGCATTTGTTCAACAGACTACGGTCGAACAAAATGCACTTATTCAACATACTACGGTCGGACTATTTTAATGTATTCGTTTTGTAAGAGTCGAACTCGTATATTTGGCCAACATCGAGCAATTTCATTTAATTCGACTCTGTACTGCCGAACACTTATAACATTTTTTTATTTTTTGGGCTTTTTCCAAACATGTGCATCCATAGAATGCAGTAATGTTGGATCTGGGGGAGATGGAAACAGAGAATGGAGGGGGTGATGGATATATCATGGGTGCGTGGGTGGATGGGGTGTGTGGGTGAGTGAAGGTAAACAAGGACGCAGATTGTGGGTGGGGTGTGTGAGTAAGGGTAAATATGAAAGTTTATGGTGTGGATTAAGACGGGACGTTGGAAGGAAAAATGGGTTTGTGATTGTCATCAAGACATCAGACTATGGTGGTGGTCATAGGACACCGAGGATATTTCTTGCTTGTGAGAGAAGTGGTCAATACAGAGCTCATAAGAAATTAGCAGGAGATGATTCAAGCAAAAAAATTGTGAAGATAACAGGTACAAAGAAATGCGGGTGTCCCTTTGAGTTAAGGGCTCGTAAGTTGATGGCTGATGATGATTGGATGGTAGATGTAGCATGTGGAATGCATAATCATGCTCCTGCTAAAAATTTTGAAGGACATTCATTTGCAGGGAGATTATCTGAGGAGGAAAAATCATTATTAGTGGATATGTCGAAAAGCATGGTCAGACCGAAAGAGATTTTGGTTACATTGAAACGAAAGGATGCTTTGAATGTAACCACTATGAAAACCATTTACAATGTACGTCATAGGAATAATGTTATTGAGAAAGCTGGGAGATCACAAATGCAACATTTGTTGGGTGAGTTAGAAAAGCATAATTACATTGAGCGGCATAGGTGTGACAACAACACGATGACTATCACAAACTTGTTTTGGGCACGTCCTGTCAGTTCAGATTTGCTCCGTTCATTTCCAAAAGTGTTGATCATGGACTGCACATATAAGACAAATCGATATCGTCTTCCTCTTCTTGAGATAGTTGGAGTGACATCCACTGATATGTCATTCTCCGTAGCCTTTGCATATCTCCAATTTGAGCGAATTGATAACTACGTTTGGGTGTTAACTACATTGCGTAGTCTCTTGGATGACATTGGTATTCCTGAGGTGATTGTCACGGACAGGGAGCTTGCTTTGATGAATGCTATTGACAGGGTATTTTCTACATCTCGACATTTATTATGCCGATGGCATATTAGTAGAAATGTACTGGCGAAATGTAAGAAAATGTTTAAGAGTAAGGAGGAATGGGACAAGTTTATCTCTTTATGGAATTTTTTAGTACTCTCCTCAACTGAGCTTGAATACAATGAACATCTTGCTAGGCTACTTGCGGATTTTGATACATATCCTGAGGCAGTGCAATATGTGTCACAAAGTTGGTTAATTCCATATAAGGATAAGTTTGTTGCCGTATGGACAGATAGTTGTATGCACTTCGGGAATGTTACAACCAATAGGTAATATATATTTGTCTACCTTACACTATCACGCATTATGATTTTGATTATTTAAATTTGATTATGTTAATTGTTTCCATTGTACATAGGGCTGAAAGTGCACATGCAAAACTGAAACGACAACTTGGTTCTAACCAAGTAAATTTTGAGTGTTCTTGGACCAAGATCCATAGTTTGCTTGAGTTGCAGCATGTTGATATTAAGGCATCATTTGAGAAGAGCTTAACCATTGTACAACACCAGTTCAAACCATCCCATTTTAGAGAGCTCCGAGGCAATATCTCTATTACTGCATTAGATCATGTCTTAGCGGAGAATAAGCGAGCGAATGATGTTGTCATTGATGCTTCAGTATGTGGATGTGTTGTTCGACGAACACACGGGTTACCGTGTGCCCATGAGATTGCGGATTACATCCGGGAGGGTCATCCAATACCACTTGATAGCATTAACCCACACTAGAGGACTCTTGAGGTAGTACAAAAGTTGAAGAATGATAAAGTGGAATTGAGTTGTGAACCAAAGTTTGATCTCATACTTTAGCGATTCAATGCATCTGATTACACTACGCAGTTGGAAATTCTGTATAAGTTAGGAGAGATTGCAGATCCGCAAAGTAGTTTTCTCATTGAGCCGGATGTGAAGCCCAACCCTCGAGGTAAGGGACATAAGAAGATAGATGTATCTACGCGTCGAGACTCATGTGCATTTGAGCTAGTTCAGTCTGGACATGATAGCCACTCACCTATGGGCACCCAGATCCCCACACAAGATTCTATCAAATCACATAAAAAACGGCCTGCCAAAGAGCAGGTACATGTAATCATTTTTTACTTACATTTTTGTTTATGATAAATTACGTGTTTTGTTGTACATGTGTTGATGTCTTTCCTATTGAATAGGTATATCGGACGCGTACAAGTACAACTTATTCATATGTTGATGCCCTTCCAGTTGGATTGAAGCCTTACATACGTCTTATCAATGCATGTGTTGATGTCTTTCCAGTTGAATAGGTATATCGGACGCGTACAAGTACAACTTATTCATATGTTGATGCCCTTCCAGTTGGATTGAAGCCTTACATACGTCTTATCAAGGATGTAGATGCCGATGGCAATTGCGGGTTTAGGGCCATTGCTAGCTTGATGGGGCTTACAGAGGCTGAATGGGGTCAAGTCAGGTGTGATCTCCTACAGGAATTGCATACACACGTAGACCATTATACTCATCTATATGGTTCATGTGACAGGATTGAAGAGCTGACCCATATTCTATCATTCTTTGAGGCTAATCCAGGGTATCACCGTTGGATGACTATGCCTGACATGGGTCATCTTATTGCATCTTGTTATAATGTGGTATTGTACCACTTATCTGCACAACAATGCCTTACTTTCCTCCCTCTACGATCAGTGCCAATATCACAACTTCAACGGCGTGAGATTGCTATTGGGTTTGTTAATGGGAATCATTTTGTCCAGGTACAGCATTATGATTTGTGTAAAACATTTATCATTTGTATTGCATCGCTCTCATACTTATATCTGTGTCAATGTAGGTGTTCATGTTACCGAGTCATCTAGTTCCACCAATAGCTACCAATTGGTGCAAGTTTCATCATTCTTGTGCGGCTGGATGGGATACTGCATATAGTCGCCGAATTGAGCATTTTAAACAAGTTGTTCATTCAGGGGTAGCTACTAGAGAGACATTTGATTGTATTAACCTCGATGAGTAATGATGTATGTCAGTTGAGTTGTAGTGATGCAATTTAAATAGTTACCGATACATTTTTTTGGATTAGCATTTATATAGTTGCATTGGATTAAGCTTTGAGTTAATATAATGCACATGGTAGTACTTGTTCATTGCGGTGTATCAAATGCATTGGCATAATACTTCATGTTGATTACCAAAAATACAAACTATGAATACTTTTTTGTTATAAATTATTGGTAGAGTAATTTTTGTTCATTACAAAATAACAAAAACATCAAAAGAGTACTTCTTTTCCAATACAAAATACCAAAACAAGATTACCACATAACCAACTACCTATCATCTACTCGTCTCCTACGATTGTATGTTTGAAGTGTAATAGAACTAGGTCCAGCCTCATCAATTTGTTGACCTTGAAGAACACGTGTGATCCTCTCAATAGCCTCATATAACCTATATGGCTCACGAACACTAGCATCATGGCCCGCCTCGATGATAGGATGGGCAATCCGTAATGCGTGATCAATACGCTGCATTAAGAACAAATACAATTGTAATTAACACATGCCATCTTCAAAAAAAATGTAAACAATGTGCGACCAATACTGTTATACCTCAGCATCCTGCATGTCAGATCGACTATCCTGTGCACGTGGGTCAAAACCAGATCGATGTGTGGGGTTCTGGATATGTAAGTGTGTGATGGTTGTATACCACTGCATGTAACCATCAACACAATCAGCTGGACGTATGACTGGGGTACTCCTCTTTCGAGCAGATAAAACATGATTATCCCAACTCTCCCATATCTGATCAAGATACTGATACATCACTTTATATCGGCCTGCTGTCACACCTCTAACAGCACGAACAGGGTCGAGTGGCGCAGGTGGGATGGTCTGAACCCTACCAAACTGTCTAAGAACCCTTTCAGGATGATAGGGTTCAACAACATCCAAACACTTCAAACAGCCAGTATAGAATGTGATCTCATGACATGGGTGATGTTGACGGCAATGTCGATATGGATCCCAAGTAACCTAAGAAAGAAACATAAATGAAATCGTGATGAGTGACATGTAATGAGAAAACTTAATTAAACTAATATTAATTGGTGTACCTCATCAAATGCCAATCTGTCAAGCTCCTCCCGTAACGCCTGTAGGTGTGATATCGTTGAGCCAGCTTCCCGACGAGGAGTCCATCGATGCACGTGAGGCAATTGTACAGTATATTGCATGTTTTGGCGAGGTCTAAATGGCCGGAAATGCTCATAAATCCATGCCTCCAATAATGTCATGTAACTAGCCATTTGTCGAACAGCTGATCTCGTGGCAAATCCCAACTGTCGGTATAAATATGCCAATGCAGCTGCACCCCAAGCATATGTATGAATATCAGACAAATCCATCAACAACTTCAAGTACACAACAGGAACTCTCGTCCCACTCTTATCAATGAACAATGTACATCCCAATAGAAATAGCAAATACGCTCTGGCGGCACAAGCTATGGATTCCTCGGTGTCTGAATCTTTACAACCACTGAATTTGGTTCGTAACCACTCCAGCTTCACTGATTGTCCCCTAGCAGATGATAGTTCCTCAGTTGCTTCAGTATCATCAACTCCCAAGGCATCTACCACAAGTGCATGTGCCTGTTGATCTGTCAAAGTTGCAGCACTAACTGATCTACCTGTGATAGGGATCCCCAAGATGGTACCCACATCATCCAATGTCATTGTCATCTCACCAACTGTCAAATGGAAAGTATTTGTCTCTGGTTGCCATCGCTCAACAAATGCAGAAATGACAATCCTATTCACGAACCGATACGTGCAATGGACCAAAGAAGATAGGCTTGACTGCTGCACAATGTCTCTAAACCTTCTATTGTCGGTTCTTGACCACCACCGCCACTCAAGAATCTTAGACGCATGATTATAACACCTTAAGGGATTCCTCTCCTGCAAGGTAATTAATAATTAACATAAATAATGTGGTTCAATAAATAATTAAATGAATGAACATGGTAAAAAATAGTTACCACCTTATGATCCCATATAGCTGCTGCAATATGTGCCTTGAAGCTCTTCAGTACTGATGGATCTGATGGCCCCCCAGGAAACGGACCAGTGAGTACCTCCTCAACCTGATCAACATTAGTAGCATCATCATCATCCCCTGAACCATTATCAATCACATCCTCTTCCAAAATTTGAGGTGCTTCCTCCAACACAATATCATCACCTCGACCTCTATCCCGACCCCGACCTCGACCTCGGGCACGAGCAGGATTTGTTAATGCACGACGTCGTCTCTCTGAGACAGTGGGTGGAATACGCGAAGGGTCATCCATTTCTAAAAAATTAAACACAAAACAATAAAGTTAAAAGAAATAACAATAAAGGTAGCAAAAGTAATGAACTTAAAGAGCTACAAATGAACAAGCTTGCAGAGATTTACAACAGAACAAGATTAGAGGACATTGTTAACACAATCATTAGCAAAGAGAGTTTGGACCCAGTTGGTGGTACTATACTATGACTTTTAGTGAGGTGCTTTTCAATGAAGAACTATGCAGATAAGAGGCTGCAGTAAACAAGTATGTGCTGTTTGGTTACACAGTTCAAGAAGAGCTTGATTTCCTCTCTCGCAACAGCATCTCATCACTGCTTCATTGAAGAGTACTTTCTGTGCAATACAACTAAAAGTCAACGGTTCTCCCACATGCCCAGCAGATATAGGTTAGATAAATGACTATGCTTTTTAGCCTTTTATTCTTATGTGCTTATGGTAAGCATTTTGAATCAGTGTCCTTGGACATAAGGTTTACAGTGGAAGTGTACATTTTCTGTAGGATGGAGTTTTAAATGTAATCTACATCCTGAATGATGCAATATATTTCATTGCCAAATTAATATTGTTCAGATCAGATCGAAACACTATCTTATTAAAAATATATCTGCTGAAACTTCAGAATTCTGCACCTTGTGCATTACACCTTTATGAATTTGACAGTTTTGGTTGTTGCTGTGATAGGGTGATGAGGTTGACTGTCATGCTATAGATTTCTGCTTTCATTATTTGCACAGTGTTTTTACTTAGCTGAATTTTATTACTTGTTTGTAACTTATTTGAATCTCACAGGAATATGCCTTAAGCTGCTACTCGAGTGTAGGGACATCCCTATATTAGGTGTTTGCCTTGGACACCAGGTATTTCTCTAAAAATTTGTTCGTAAGAAATTGGTCACAGTGGCAACTGTGATCTGATCAATCACGTCTGTACCTGTTTGATTATATTGACGATTGTTACTTAATAGAGCCCGTGATGTCATTTGAAGTTAACAAATTGTTACTTAAAAGATCAGTTTGTCAAGAAGAAAAAAGTTCAAAATGCAAATTTGAATAAAATAATTAAAAACACCATCAATGGATCCTGCACACCGTGCCACTGCAACTTTCACCAAGCTATTTAGGAGTATGTTGCAGATTTTCACATAAGAAAGTCACATCCAACTTGCAGTCTCTTTTCAAATGAGAGTAGCATATAAGACAAACATACCTAGATGCCATATATTTGCATACATAGACAGCTTTGCAAACTAATCATTTAAAAGAAATCAAAATGCAACAATTATGCTTTTCAACAACAAATCAACAATTCTTGGGACAGAACTGTGACTATCAATTCAGAACTAAGATGAAAACTCTCCAAGAATAAATAGTCAATAATGAATACCTGCCCTGTAGTAGTTCTTGGGATAACAGAGATTGAAGCAATGTCTACATAAGATTGGGTAGTAATAAATACATCAACACAGACCTGAAAATAGAGAGATTGAATCACAGAAAAATTATGGATCCATCATGAGTCTCAATGAACACCATGGGGAAATTTCAGAACTATATTGAATAGAAAAAAACAAATCAGTGAAACTCCACCTGGTACTCTGCAAGTTCAACAGCCAATGTCTTTAAAATTTTGTCACCTGGTTGGAGTAATTTATGGGCCTCCTAAAATTCAACAACAAACATAATAGTAAAACTTACAGCAAGGAGATGGAAAAAAAGAATGATGGAAGAGAAGAGAGAGACCGTGTATGGCTAATGTGAGATACTAAAAATTAGGATTCACTCCCTTAGTCACATGTATTTATATTAATATGGTACGACTAATCAACCAAATGTAGCATAAAAGCATAACACATACCACATACACTATATTATAAAGCCAGAATCTCATAGCTATGTTGAACTAGTTTATCTTTATTTTCCAATCTACATCTTGAAGGATACAGATGTATATGAATTAATGAAAATCAACAAGTACTACAAAAAAATAGTAGGGAAAAAATAAGAAAATTAGAAAAGAGAAAAATTAGGCTGGTCATTTAGAGAGAGAGAGAGAGATTTTATTTAATTCTTTTTATATTTATAATTAATCTCCAATGATTGACTTAAAAAGAAAGTTAGCAAACTATAATATAATTTTAAATTTTATTTAATTCTTTTTATATTTATAATTAATCTCCAATGATTGACTTAAAAAGAAAGTTAGCAAACTATAATATAATTTTAAATTTTATTTAATTCTTTTTATATTTATAATTAATCTCCAATGATTGACTTAAAAAGAAAGTTAGCAAACTATAATATAATTTTAAATTTTATTTAATTCTTTTTATATTTATAATTAATCTCCAATGATTGACTTAAAAAGAAAGTTAGCAAACTATAATATAATTTTAAATTTTATTTAATTCTTTTTATATTTATAATTAATCTCCAATGATTGACTTAAAAAGAAAGTTAGCAAACTATAATATAATTTTAAATTTTATTTAATTCTTTTTATATTTATAATTAATCTCCAATGATTGACTTAAAAAGAAAGTTAGCAAACTATAATATAATTTTAAATTTTATTTAATTCTTTTTATATTTATAATTAATCTCCAATGATTGACTTAAAAAGAAAGTTAGCAAACTATAATATAATTTTAAATTTTATTTAATTCTTTTTATATTTATAATTAATCTCCAATGATTGACTTAAAAAGAAAGTTAGCAAACTATAATATAATTTTAAATTTTATTTAATTCTTTTTATATTTATAATTAATCTCCAATGATTGACTTAAAAAGAAAGTTAGCAAACTATAATATAATTTTAAATTTTATTTAATTCTTTTTATATTTATAATTAATCTCCAATGATTGACTTAAAAAGAAAGTTAGCAAACTATAATATAATTTTAAATTTTATTTAATTCTTTTTATATTTATAATTAATCTCCAATGATTGACTTAAAAAGAAAGTTAGCAAACTATAATATAATTTTAAATTTTATTTAATTCTTTTTATATTTATAATTAATCTCCAATGATTGACTTAAAAAGAAAGTTAGCAAACTATAATATAATTTTAAATTTTATTTAATTCTTTTTATATTTATAATTAATCTCCAATGATTGACTTAAAAAGAAAGTTAGCAAACTATAATATAATTTTAAATTTTATTTAATTCTTTTTATATTTATAATTAATCTCCAATGATTGACTTAAAAAGAAAGTTAGCAAACTATAATATAATTTTAAATTTTATTTAATTCTTTTTGTATTTATAATTAATCTCCAATGATTGACTTAAAAAGAAAGTTAGCAAACTATAATATAATTTTAAATTTTATTTAATTCTTTTTGTATTTATAATTAATCTCCAATGATTGACTTAAAAAGAAAGTTAGCAAACTATAATATAATTTTAAATTTTATTTAATTCTTTTTGTATTTATAATTAATCTCCAATGATTGACTTAAAAAGAAAGTTAGCAAACTATAATATAATTTTAAATTTTATTTAATTCTTTTTGTATTTATAATTAATCTCCAATGATTGACTTAAAAAGAAAGTTAGCAAACTATAATATAATTTTAAATTTTATTTAATTCTTTTTGTATTTATAATTAATCTCCAATGATTGACTTAAAAAGAAAGTTAGCAAACTATAATATAATTTTAAATTTTATTTAATTCTTTTTGTATTTATAATTAATCTCCAATGATTGACTTAAAAAGAAAGTTAGCAAACTATAATATAATTTTAAATTTTATTTAATTCTTTTTGTATTTATAATTAATCTCCAATGATTGACTTAAAAAGAAAGTTAGCAAACTATAATATAATTTTAAATTTTATTTAATTCTTTTTGTATTTATAATTAATCTCCAATGATTGACTTAAAAAGAAAGTTAGCAAACTATAATATAATTTTAAATTTTATTTAATTCTTTTTGTATTTATAATTAATCTCCAATGATTGACTTAAAAAGAAAGTTAGCAAACTATAATATAATTTTAAATTTTATTTAATTCTTTTTGTATTTATAATTAATCTCCAATGATTGACTTAAAAAGAAAGTTAGCAAACTATAATATAATTTTAAATTTTATTTAATTCTTTTTGTATTTATAATTAATCTCCAATGATTGACTTAAAAAGAAAGTTAGCAAACTATAATATAATTTTAAATTTTATTTAATTCTTTTTGTATTTATAATTAATCTCCAATGATTGACTTAAAAAGAAAGTTAGACTTTGCTAGACTATAAAACAAGAAGACTATATTTATTTATTTTTAGTTCTCATATCTTAATTTATTTTAGTAAATTTTATTATATAAATTTTTTAATGATATATACAAGCAAACTTTGTAGGGGTACAGTGACGCCCCCAAATTATTAACCCTTAGAGATCCCATATCGAACCGCCAGATGATTTAGTTTCCGGTTAACCAACTCAATTATATAAACCAATTAATATAAACCTAGCAAGATATAGAGAGTGACAACCTCAATATGCATATTATGATTACATATATTTAATTATGTGTTAATTTTTTAATTGTGATGTGTGCCATATGATTAATTTGTGTGTATTTGTCTGATTTGAAAGCTATCTTTTATCATTTATGTTCAGAATTCGAAATTGATGGCTTAAATGATCTCAAAAATCGAAACTGGCTACATGAATCAATTAGAAATTTTAAAATCATTTGGTAAGTTTGATTAAAAATTGATTAAGTTTGATTAATTAAATTGTGTTTGATGAGCCTAATGTTCTAATTAATATATTAAGCCATCCTAGCTATATAAATTTGCCCTAAGCTCATTCTTGAGCTCATCTTCTTCATTTGTAAGTGCAAAAATGTGAGAATTCATTTTAGAGAGAGAGTGAGCTCTCATTCTAGAGAGAGAAAAGGGAAGATTGAAGGAGAACTTGTTGATCTTTGCTGGAGGAACCAAGATAGTGTAAGAATTAGTGTATTTGAAGGCACTAGGTAAGAATTTA